CAAATATCCATGACTAAGAATTACATTTCAGCTGCAATAGCTCATGCTCTGCCAATATGAATTCACATTATGTTACTGAAATATAAACCAAAGTTCAAGCAGATGGCTATAAATGCACACACCCAAAAGAAGATTAACAACGAACAAGGAAAGGGGAAAAAGAAAAAGAACTAGAACGAAGATAATAAGAGTCCCCATTACCATTGAGCAAGGAAAAACACGAAGGTCAAGAATCTGAAAACCCTGAACAAAGCTTGAGAAAGAACAAAATCAAACAGCGAAAGATCAACAGAAGGCAAGCAGCAGAGGATCAAATCGAAGAGGGGAGGAGATTTAAAATTCGAAGAAAAACCCGAGCACGTGGAAGAAAGAAACAACAAAAGCAAACCCCAAAAATGGCATAAGATTCAAGAAATGGGATTAAAGGAAAGAATACCTGCAACGGTAACTTTGCGATTAATTTTGAGCCACGAACACAAGGCCCCTTTCTTGAGACGCATTGCTTCGGAATTAGATTAGGGCAATGATCCATATGTTACCTTGTCGGATTTGTAATGAAGACGCTGCTTCTGAATTTCCACTCGTTTCGTTCTGTAGCTTCATCCAGGCGTTTGCTCGAAGATCAAATCTTCTCGAACAGTAGCTGTTCCAATTAAGCAACCTTCGCAGAACTAGGTAAAACATTAGGCGCCTTCGATCAGCCGCTTCCACAAGATATTTTCCTACCATTTTGTTTTAGACATTAAAAAAAAAAAATGGAAATTCAAATTTCTCCTTCTATTTTAATCATTTACTTTTAAATATCTAGTTAATATAAATTTTGGTGATTTTGATTTCAACTTCATCCACAAATTGAGGAGTAAAATTTGATTTATCTTTCTCGAAATTTAATTGTAGGCGCAACAAAAGCGGGGAAGCGGCGATAGGTCATTAAAGTTCGAATCTTTGGATAAAGTAAGCAAATATTCGCGGCTCCCAAATCCGCCCGCTGTTTTTGTTTTCTTCATCTTATCCTTCTTATTTTCATCTTTAACGCCGTCTTCTTTCCTTCAAACCTTCCGCCCTTCCATTTATGGTTTTGTTCTATGAATCACACCCCTTTCCCCTTGTTTTCCTTCTTCTTTTCTTTGATTAATCCAGCTTCGATTCTGTTTTTTCGCGATCTGGGTTTCTAAGTTCATTCGATTCCAATTACTCCTTCAGATCTAATCGGGGGTTTATATTTTTCAGATCCAAATCGCTTGATGAGGGACTGTTTTGATATTCTTCTTTGAATTGTTTTCATGGATCTTAGTAGCTTATCCGATTGATTGATTTGTGAATTGAAACTAGATAGGTCTCTGGGTATTCGTGGTGTGCTGTTAATTATTGGGGTTTTCTTACGATGGTCACTGTTAATCTTGGAATGCTTCATTATGTGTTGGACCATGTGTATGGTGCATTTGTGCACAGAACCAAAATCAGCCCACCGTTTTTCTCGAGGGGATGGGGTGGTTCGAAGCTGGATTTGCTTGAAAAGATGATCAAACAGTTGTTCCCAGATATGGTAGGCCAGAATTTGCCTCCCAGTTTGATTAGACCCATTTGGAGAACGGTTTGGGAGAATGAGAGTGCTCGTTTGAGAGAAGGGGTTTTCAAGACCCCTTGTGATGAGCAGCTTCTTGCTGCATTGCCTCCCGAGAGTCATAATGCAAGGGTTGCTTTTCTCATGCCTAAATCTGTGCCAACCCACAAGATGTCTTGTGTTGTTCATTTGGCAGGTATCATGTTTTGTAATGCTTTACATAATATCAATCTTGTTTTTAGTGAATACTTATCTTGTTTACTGCTCAGGTATATTGTCCTCTTTGCGCTTTTCCTTTGGTTTCCACACCCTTGTAAAGAATGTTTTGTTCCCCTCTCTAACTGATGTGGGATCTCACAGTTTGCTACTCACAGAACATGATCTCATAGTTAGTAGATAATTCTAGGTGAGAAAGTTTTTGACACATTATGGTTCTCTTTGATTAAGAGACCAACTTGAGCATAGCTAACTGGTTATATGTCCTAGAAAAGGTCGAAGGTTCAAATCTTCACCTCTCAAACTTAAAATTAGAATTATAGTTTCTTTGGAATCTCTCTTTTTCTTTGTTCTTCTGATCATGTATATATGTTCGTTGTTCAATGAGTATCAATCTCATTGACTGAATGAAGTGCTTCTCTATTGTAAAGGTCAGATGATAACCCTACACAAACAATTATTTTGCAGGGACTGGAGACCATACATTTGAAAGACGACTACGTCTTGGAGGGCCATTGTTGAAGGAAAATATTGCAACCATGGTGCTTGAGAGGTATGCTTTATCCTGCTCTGTTAAATGAAACTAAAGTCACTAATAATGTTATGCAATACTTTAAGTCATTAATTTCGTGTCACATATTCGACTACAGTCCTTTCTATGGTCAGCGACGACCCATGCTGCAATCTGGTGCCAAACTCTTGTGTGTTAGTGACTTGCTTTTGTTGGGAAGAGCAACCATTGAAGAGGCTCGCAGCCTTTTACATTGGTTAGACTCTGAGGCAGGGTTTGGAAAGATGGGTATTTGTGGGCTTAGCATGGGTATGCCTCAATCTAGATACCTTGTGATCATGAAACTAGTACATACTAAATTGCATGGACTAAATCATTACATATTAAAGTTTTGGCATTAAATCCTTACTTTGAGAGCCTAGTTTAAATTTTAAATCTGGCATATGTTTGCATTTAAGCAGTCATTTCAGAAACAAATTCCTAAGTTGGACCCATTTATGAAATTTAGGAGGAGTACATGCTGCAATGGTTGGATCTCTACACCCTACACCGATTGCGACGTTTCCTTTTCTTTCTCCACACTCTGCTGTTGTGGCATTCTGTGAGGGAATTTTAAAGCATGGAACTGCTTGGGAAGCATTAAGACAGGATCTTGCATTGCAGAAGTCTGCCATGACTCTTGAGGAGGTTAGAGAACGGATGCGGAATGTACTCTCTCTTACAGATGTCACTCGCTTTCCGATCCCGAAAAATCCCAATGCTGTCATACTTGTTGCAGCTACTGTAAGTTCTTGATCCTGCTGTACTACATCCAATACATTTCTCAAGTGTTCTGCTTTCCTTGCATCTCTAAATGTGCTGATATGGAGTCTTATGCCATTCATATATATCGAGTTCGGTTACTCCTGCTTAGTTCATAATATGTGATCTTGTTGCTTGTATTTGCTGTAAGTTTTCTTTTGTAGGCTTGGTTCTTGACTTATTATGGAATATTTAGTTTGGAAACTATTAGAGAGGCCTTGAATTTGCTTCATTTCAACACTTACCATGTGGGGTTTAGTGACTAATTCTTGTAGTATTTGTTTGTCATTGATGGTTAACAATTGGAGCACTCTCTTGTAAGCTTTTGTGGCCTGCCCTCTGTTTTATTATTCTTCTGAAAGCTTAATTTTGATTGAACTCTGAGAGATGTATTCGTGTTGCTTTACGACACGGTTTGTTGCTATTTTGTTCTCTACTTTTCGCGTTGAAGCTTAGTTCAAACACTTTCGAGTTTCAGGACGATGGCTACATTCCGAAACACTCTGTGCTCGAGCTCCAGAAAGCTTGGCCTGGTTCAGAAGTAAGATGGGTGACTGGTGGTCATGTGTCTTCCTTCATTCTACACAATAACGAGTTTCGTCGGGCGATTGTTGATGGGCTCGACAGACTCGAATGGAAAGAATCGCCATTGTGACATGAAAGCTTTGCACCAAACATGTAAAGATGGCTGCCTATTTCTTTCTTTCTTGTTTTCTTCTTATTCTGTGGATTTGTATCATTCAACCTGTAAATCTGATATGATACTATTCTGCGATGTCCGCTCTTTTCCTAATTTCACGTTCATAGGTATAAACATTAGACAACTCTATTCAGAAGCAATGCCTGCATCTTTCGTTGTAATTTATTTAACAATGGTGTGATCGCACTCGAATCAGACCCAACTCGTGGTTTATTTGACACGGTGAAGCTCGTATCAATTTTTCTTGTAAGAGCATGAGTGTTATATAAGCACGCTACTAGCCAATATTATTTCTTTGGATTTTTCCTTTCAGGCTTCTCAATTGGGAAGTCCGAATGGAAAAGTCCAAAGAAGACAAGATTTGCTAACAGTGTGCTTGAACCACTACTAATGGTGTCAGAACCAAACATCAGGCAATGTGCCAGCGAGAAGGCAGAGCCCCAAAGGGGTTGAACATGAGGCGGTGTACCAGCAAAGACGCTGAGCCCCGTAGGGGTGGATTGGGAGGAGGGTCCCATATTGATTGGAGAAAGGAATGAGTGCCAACGAAGACGTTGAGCCTCGAGGGGTGGATTGTGAGATCTCACATTGGTTGGGGAGAAGAACGAAATAGGGTGTGTATACTTCTCACTAAGAGATACGTTTTAAAAATTTCGAGAAGAAGCTCAAAGGAAAAAACCTGTAAAAAACTTAGGAAAACAAAGAAAAAAAAAACAAAATTTTAAAACGGTGAGGAGCCCAAAGAAAAGAACCTAGAAAGATAAAAAAAAAAGAAAATATTTTAAAAATTTGAGAAGAAGCCCAAAGTGAAAAATCTAAGAAAACCCAAAAAAAGAAGACAATATTTGCAACTTTGAAGAGAATCGGAAAGGGAAAAACCTAGGAAAATTCAAAAAAGACAATATTTGCTCGTGGAATAGTTACCGTTACAAAAGCAAGAAGAAATCCGATATAGAATATTATTTCCAATGCTATAGGATACGATTGATTAGCCGAAACATGAACGAATCTAACCTATTCTCAAATCAATTACGAATCTCTTCAATATAATATATCTGCTCCATTCAACTCCCAAATGTCTCCAAGACAAGTGTTTATTAGTTTATTATACAGCAGCAACTGCTCCTTTGAAAATAAAAACAACATTTCTTTGATTATTGTGTGGAAGCTGCTTAGAGTTGTTTTTATTTTGGACTTTTCTTCCATCCTTGAGGAATCAAAGACCTATTTGCTTTGTATATTTATAATTAGTGACACAAAATGGTTCATCAACAACTATTTTATTTATCTATATCTCATGTTCTATAGCTATATCTTAGAGAGAGCTTCAAGAACTAAAAGGGAAGAAGTTAAGATTTTGTCGTAAGGTATACTTCCGAGTCAATCCTGCCTCGGTCGAGCTAACCACAAGGAACTAAGAGCTCGAAGCCGATGAAAATACTCCGCAATGGCTAGCAGACATCGTGCAGCTTGTCGGGTCGTCAACATTTGATGCAATCGATGAATGGTTTGATGTCTCAAATGATCTGCCTACAATCACAACAAAACAAAGTCAAATAACAACAAATTATATTACTAAACAAAACTCAAACCTAACATCTCATTCGTCTTTTATAAAAACTTATAATTTATTAGTTGCTCAATGATTTATCTTTGGATATTGTATGGTGGGTCAGGTTTTGAAAGGTAGGTGTCGGGAAGAAGATAAAGAACAAAACGAATAATAGAATAGAGATAGACATATTCGTAGATTCCAGTAACCAACCAACCAACCACATGAACACTTTGGGATACAACGAGAGTTGCTTTTGGATCAGGAAAAGGGTAGGACTTCCCATTTCCCAATTCAAAGTGGACACTATCGTACTATTGTGAAGAGAGATAGGAGAGGGTACCTGTCGTACAAAGCCTTCGAGGGTCGAGAGCTTGTTGATGGCTAAGGTCATCTGGCCCATGTAGTTAGCCATATTGGGAGGGTTGCTCAATGAATCAGCGGCGATGGTGTCTGATAAGGATTGGTTAAGGGCTTCAAGGCCTTCAGACAATGCCTCTTCGCTCTCTTGTGTGGATTGTTGCAATCCACAAATGTTCAATATTTGATGCTCAGTTAATGGCTCTATTTCACCCATTACTATCTACACAAACACACCAAACTGTTGGGGTTAATTTTTATGGTCAAAAATAGCATTTACTCTTAGAGACAAAGAGAGAGAGCCATGCAATTCTTGCCATTTCCATTCATTTCTATGTCACACACACAACCAATTTGTAGTATAAAGGTATTGCCTTTCTACATTGCATTACCTAATCCTTACATATTATGCAAAATTTCAATACCCTTTCGTCATTTATTGTTGCTTCACACTTCCGATATTTTCTCGACAACCAAACACTCAACGTTGTCACTTCCCGTCCCATCATTTTACCCCTTTTTTTGGGTTTTATGGTCGAGAAATTATTCGACAGGGTAGGAACATTGTCACCAGTAACAATATATCTAATACTATACTGTTGCTGGTGACAACGTTCCAACCGTGTCGAATAATTTCTCGACCCGAGAAATAGATTTTAAAAAATATACCAATGTTAAATAATAATAATGTTGTTATTATTATTATAATANTTTCAATACCCTTTCGTCATTTATTGTTGCTTCACACTTCCGATATTTTCTCGACAACCAAACACTCAACGTTGTCACTTCCCGTCCCATCATTTTACCCCTTTTTTTGGGTTTTATGGTCGAGAAATAGATTTTAAAAAATATACCAATGTTAAATAATAATAATGTTGTTATTATTATTATAATAATACTTATTATTATTATTATAATTATTGTTGATATTATTATGTTAGTTTCTTTTTGGTGAAGAAAGAAAATTAGGAAGGAAAAACCTAAGAGAAAATAATGAAAAGGTACCTTAAGGAGTTCAGATGGCCTAAAATCGCCCATCCACAGGAAGCATCTCTCCGCCGGCGTCTTCCACATGCCGGAGACGAGGTGGAAGACGTCGGACTTAGCCACCATCATTTTCAAGTTCAAAACCTCGTCGTAGTGGACAAGGCAGTTGTCGACAAATAATCGGAGCTCGTTTTCCGGTAAATGCTCCTGCACAGCTGCTCGGAGCTCGCACATCAGCCGGTGGTGCTCCTCCTGCCACCGCCTATACTCAATGTCGAACACCGCAGCATCTACGAGAGTATAAGGTTTATAAGTAAGATAATATTATACCATCGTGAACGTACGTAATTACTAATAATTAGGAATTGTTACCGGAGCTGAGGTTATGGAAACCGGGGGGAAGTCCTTGGTCAGCTCCTAAAATGGCTGCTCCGCCACCCACAAGCATACCCTAATGAACACCAACAATAACATCAAATTACAAAATAATGAATTAAACTCCAAATATATATATATATATATATATATATATATATATATATATTACCTGAGTTCTTGCTCTTTGTAGCTCTTGCTCCAGCTGCGTCAGCTTAATCCTACTCAGCTCCAACTGCTGAACATAGGCCTGAAAATGCATCGAAGGAATCACGACTCTATACAACGATATGATATTTGTGTACTTTGAGCATATGCTCTGGTGGCTTTACTTTGGGTTTTGGGCTCATGAGAAATATATCATTTCCTAAATTAGTGAAGGTGGGACTCACTTCCAACACTTCTCAACACACGAGAAAGAAAGCAAAAAAACGACCTTTTTTCTTAGCCTGCTTTTTCTTGCAGCCTCTCGGTTCTGAGCCAGCCTTCTAAGAGTCTGAAAATGACGCAAAAAGAAGCCATTTTTAAGGGTGAAAGAGCTCAAAAACAGGTATAGAATGAAAAAGGTGGGATTTTTAGACCTTGGGGTCTGGAGTTTTGGGTCCTTCTTGCTCTGAGCTTGAGGTCAGCCCTTTCTTATTAGCCTCACGCTGCGACAAAGAAAAAAGGGTTCAATTTAATGTTAATTAAGAAGTGATTTTGTTATTATTTAATTAAAAAAAGGTTTACTTTTGGAGGTTTGGCATGAGGTTCGGTGATTGTTGTAGTTGGGTTTGGGTTTGGGGGTGGTCCGGATGGAGTGGCTCCACCGCTGCGTTGGTTGGCCAACTCCTTGGATGGCTCTGATGCTTTGATCTTTGAATCACCATGGTTAACCAATGCTGTGTTTGCCTACAACACCAAATCCAAATTTCATATACTCCCAAATTCAAAAAAGAAAAAAAAAAAATGTCTTCTTCTTCTTCTTCTTTTCTTAATCCATTTAATATCAAAACTAATCATCAACTTGGAGAAAAGATGCAATTTTTCTCATTTATTTACTTTTGCTGGTAATGGGTCGACGTGCATCGGCTGCGACGGGAAGATGTTCAACGTCGGCGGCCTCATCCCCGTACTCTCTGCAACAAAAAAAAAACAAATACACCCTTATAAAGAATGCTTAAACCGAACGACTGACCGTCAGAAAGATGTTCTAAAACGATGAATTATGGTAAATTTAAGGAGGAGAGAAGGGTTTGAATGCATGTGATGTTTGAGAAGAGAAAAGGGTAAGAAATGGAAGAGCCAAAAGGAATAAAACATATGCTGAAACCCCATAAGAGAGAGAGAGAGAGAGAGAGAGAGAGAGAGAGGAACAAAGAGTGTGTTGTGGTCAAAGAAGTACAACCACAGAAGATCAATTCAACAAATTGGAACAAACCCATGTTGTTGGTGTGAAGAATCTTCAGACAAACCCCAAGAACAACCAAAAAAAAAAAAAAAAAACCGGAAAAAGAGAAAAAAAATACGTCTTTGATCTTGTTGGGTGATGTTTGTGGAGGGTTCTTGTCCATCAAGATATAGAAAGAGGGCATGATCCAATTCTCCCAAATCATCACCTCCTCCATCTTTGCTTCTGAGAACAAGAATCAACAAAACAAATTCAGTAAAAGAAATTAAAAAAAATTAAAAAAAGTTTAAATTTTTATGAAGAATTACATGAAATTTGGAGAGATGGAAGGGAGATTCATGGAGAAAGGTAATTGATGATGATGAAAGTCTTGATTTTGGAAGCTGAATGATGATGGATTTTTGGGGATGACAAAGTTTGGAGTTTGCAAAAGCTGATGTTGTTGTTGTTGGTGTTGTTGTTGTTGATGATGATGATGATGGAGTAGTTGTCGTGCTTCTTCTTCTTCTTCACTGATGGAGCTGGTTTTAATATTGGAGGAAGCCATTAAAGCTCACACCTTTTTTCTCTCTCCTCTTGTTCTTCTTCTTGTTCTTGTTGTTCTTGCTGTTCTTGTTGAAGAGTTCTTCAGTAATTCTCCATTAATGGCGTCAACAAGCTTCAGTTCTCACATATTTGGATGATTCATGAGAGAGAGAGAGAGATGATCAGTCGGTTTGAAGAGAGAGAGGAAAAAATGGATTGAATTGAATGAAAAGAAAAGAAAACAAGAACAAAAAAGCTTCTCTCTCTAGGAATTAAAACACTTTCCATAAACCTAATTTTTTTTCCCTCTTTTTTCCATTAATTTATTTGATGCACTTGTCAATCATTCACGATGCTAACATATCAAGAGCACGATAATTTGAACTTTAGAAAAACGAGTTCATGTCAATAAAATTTGTGTTTTTACCGCCATATAGACATGTTTATGAGACGAATTTTGATATATATGATTACACACGATGCACGTTCTCGAAAGAGTAACTATATAATATTTATAATACAATGACTAAATTTATGATTCGTAACGAACTTTAGGTTTAGTCTCGAGGATAAAACTCTTGCAAATAATCAACTCGAATAGTTACGATAATAAGGACTATTCACGAGATTCTTACCCTAATGTTATCAAACTATAATATATTTATATTCGCCATATGTCAATGTCATTAAATGCCTACAATTCTCGCTTCTAAATTCAAGAACGAAACATAACATATTACGTCATATAACCATTTATGAATATGAAACGACTCAAGGTTTTGAGGAGGACGTTGCGAAAACTTTTTAAACCCTATAGCTCGTTTTATTTTAGTCAAATTGCTGATATTAAGTAATTGATTAAGGTAGTAAGCTTCTTTAAATTAAAAAGATTAAAAAATATTGATTCAAATATTTGGAATATATTTGATGAACTTATATGACTAAAATTCTATCATATATTAGTTGAGTATTAATAATTATAATATGATATAATCTTACTATTATTTAATTCAATAATTCTATTATTAGAGGATGAACTTAGAGAAAAAATAAAACCAAAGAAAAAAAGATTTTTAGGGGAGAAAATAATGAGATTATTGTTAGAGTAGGTAAGTATTATTTTTATTTAGTAATTATATTAAATTTCAATTTTCAAAATTAATTAATACCTCTTTAAATTATCATCTTCTTAACCTCAGAGTTAATAAGTGAAATATTTAGATTTTCAACTTCAACTCTCCGTAATTTAATATAAACGTTACATGCATCTATCAAAATATCTGCAATTTCGAACATTTAGCTCTCGAGTATTTAATATTCATATCTGTTGAACCGAACATGCAGTGGTAAAGAGAAAAAGAGGAAAAAAGTAGTCGTAAAACTCGGGAAGAGAGAGATGAAGGGTAAAATAGAAATTTTGAAAATAGATTGTTTAATTTTTTAAAAGTTATAATTTGTAGTATTAAAGAATATTTTTTATGCACCAAATTTATAATTTAATTCTAATATTATTATTTTTTGAGTTCTTATCCTTTATTATATTATTCATATTTTTTTTAATTTATATTAATTAATTGTCATAGGAAGCAGTTGACGGGGAAACTGCAAAATTAGCAGAATTGACCTATGACGTGGGTGTAATATCCATCGTCTATCTGAGGGAGAAAGTTAGGGTGTGGGTCCCGCATTTATTGATCGGATGGCTGAGACTCTACGTTTGGAAAGTCGTTCCGGTGGGGCCCACCGAGACCGCCCCCACTTTTCCCGCTATTTTTCTATTCTTGGTCCTCTAACCACTCCGGAACACAGGAACCTTTCTAACTGCACATTAAAAAAAAATTATATAAAATTATTTTACCTAAATTTGTGGAAGTTTATTTTTAAATTTTCAATCTCATATCAATTTGTGTTAATATATATAATACAATAAAATCCGACCAATTTAAATTACTTTAATTCAAATTAAATTATAAAAATTGTGTCGTGAGTTAGTTTTACTTTTGTAACTAATGATGTGTCATGATTTATAAATATTTAGTATTTATAATTTATGAGATTTTAATTATTAATATAATATATATATTGGATAAATAAAAAATTTTAAAATATGGTGCAATAATATTAATAAGAATATATTTTAATTTGGTTGGGTATATATTATTATTATTATTTGGATAAACATATAGTACTGTGTTGGAGTAAAAAAGGCATTAAATATATGAAATATTTATTTATATTGTATTTGGCCCAACTGATTTACAAGATTCCCACAATGTATATGATATCATAATATGGCAATCATCTAATAAAGTTTGTCAACTATATTTTATTCCATAAAAATATAACATATAGTTTAATGTAACATTTATCCAAGTGAGTCAAATATTGATTTTAGACAAAATTTTGATTTTTTTTTTTTTTTTGATAATATGGAAATAAAATAAAAATAAAAACTATATGGACAAAGGATTGCGTGACTTGCATCACTAGAGGCTTAATTATTAAAACAAAATGACAATTTAGTTAATAAAATCAAATATAAATTATAGTTTAAAAAATGCAAATTTTTCATAGTTGACTTTTTTATATAATGGACTGTCACTATCATATTAGAGTTTGAAAAATCTTGAAATAGTTTTTTAATTAATTAAAACAAAATGAAGAGCCAAAAACTCAAATTTCCTCTCATTTTTATTTCTCTTTATACAATACTTTTTCAATGTATAATATTAAAAAAAACAATTGAAATAAATTAATTATTGAATTTTAATAAATAATGACTCCAGCCAATTAAAGTTTGAAAATGGTATGAAATAACACGTACGCAATTGACCCAATTATATATTCCTTTTAAAAAATAAACTATTAATTAAATTTAATTTGGTTAATATTCTGAATTTCAACTCCAAAGTTGACAATGATATGTAGAGTGACTCAAGCACGCTTGGTGGAGGACAATTATTTAATATTATTTTTTAAAAAATATTAAAATAAACATGAGTTTTCTTTAAATATTTATTTTTTAACTCGTTTTCACCAAAATTTAAATGCAAATTAATTCATAAGCTTTGTAATGTGACAATAGTATTTACATAAAAAAATAATTACTCATTTGGGGTTGGAAACTTTATTACGTGGGTTAATGTATGTAGCATTCTATTTGATATTCTTGCACATTACGAGACTTTTGGCACGAGCGAGAAGCTTCTAAGTAGGGATCGTAGAATAAATCCTTAAAAGGGTCAACAAGTGAAGATCGATATAAGTCAGTAATTAAAAAATAACATTACAATCGTTAAAACACTAGACATGTTACTCTAATATTATGTTAAATCGTCACTCGATCCAAAAGCTTAAACTAATGGATCGAAATATTTAAAGGATAACTAAATTTAAGCTTTTGGAATTTGATTTTGAGGCCAAGAATATTGAAATATTGATATAATTAATTTCAATGGTCGAAGATGGGCATGACCAAGTTCATTGTATGATGATAGATTGATAAAAAGAATATTAGTCCAAACATACATCAATTTTCTCTTATATATTCTTTGACTTTATATTAAATATCAAATTTAGTGAATGATTTTTAATTCAATATGCTCTACTTTTAGGAACATGGATTCTCACTTTTGAATTGTATCATAGAGAGTGTTGTTGACCCTTTGCATAGTTAGGAGGGAGAGTTTATTGGGCCTAGATGATTAAGCCCATTATAAAGTAGGAAAATTTTAAGCCCACATATTATAGTTTATTGGGCCTAGATGATCAAGCCCATTAAAAAAATGGTGCCCATTGAGTGGCAGACTCCAGCCTCGTGTCTCGCCCGAACTTGTCCCTCCCCTCTTCTACATTTATCTTTACAACAAATCACTCTCACTAAATTCCACACCAACGACCTGTCACGGCTATGCTTGTCCAAAACGTGTGTTGTCCATGATTCCAACAGTCCATGACTACTTGCTCCTTAATGTTTCCTTTGCCCTTTTATGCTTCACAAAATAGAATGGTGAAATGAGGGCTTCTAAAGCACAACAATAGTGATGAAACCAAATACTTGACCATATGATAACTTCAAGGTGGATTCTAAAGTGAGATATAAAATTATGATGGGATCATATTATTTGCCCTGAAAAGAAAAACAGTGTCATTTGACAATTCCTCTCAACCACCTTCACAGTTATCCCAAATTGAAAAGCTTCCAAACAAAGATCAATGGTGGTAAATCCAAAACTAACCAAAAACGAGTTGAACAAATTGATGGTACCTTTATTCATACAACATTCCCTGTTCAGCTTACTCGAGAGAACTGAGAGTATAATTACATCTCTGGAAACCCAAAAGAGAAAGCCAGCCAAGATCTTCTTTCCCAATTGCTGCAAAGATTACTAATGCTACTCAATGTGGGATCTTTTCTTGGTGGTGTAAGGGTAGTACTCCTTTCCATTGTCAATTCTTGTGGTTTGACCACCAACATCAATTAATGCAGATGTAACTGCCAAAGCAGCTCCAGCGGAAATGGCTGTTGAAATGCTTTTTCCTGAAACAAAACAACGGCATCAATTAACCACTTTCACAGGGAGTTAACTTATTAGAGACATGAAAAGAAAACACATTAGAACCACATCCTAAGCAATGGATCAGAAAGATCGGAATGGCACTTCAAATTTACAATCATATGGTGATACTGATAGGTCTTGTTATAAGTATAACTAACAAGAAATGGCAAGAAACTACATCCAGATCGAGAAATCGCCCCTCTTGGAGGGAAATTTCTAGTAATACAGTAGAGGTTGGATACTACTTCCATTTATTGAGCTTCGTCATCATTATTTTTTACTGATATGAAGTCCAACAATATTAAAGAAGTAATTATAGAGAAATTTCTAGTGTTGACGGAGGGCTGATATAGGTACTATAGGACGACTGGAAACTCTCCCTTGTTCGTCTCAGATGATATATATATATATATATATAGAAAAAAAATGTAGCACTTCTCCACTAATTTGTCTCCTATAATTAAGTTCGCATAGAAAGTTTTTGCCCTCCAAATTTATGGTTCTGCCCTAACTAAGGAGTGGTTGCTAACATGCAGACTAGTTATTTGTGTCTTCAAGGCTCCAGTTTATCGAAGCATTGATAAAAATAAGAGAGGGACTTCTTTCGCGAGGTGCAGACTAGGATGGAGGTCGTCTATAGATGAAATAAAGAGTTGAGCCTCTTGCTCTTTCGAGGATGGTGATTGTAGCTTCACCAATGTACATAAGTGGAAGTGCACTTCTTTAACCAAATGCATACGAAGGTTCCTTCTAGAAAGCAGTGCACCATGGCACAAAAATGTCACTAGAAAAATGTCACTAGCAAGTGTGGGAAGGATAAGTCAGGTGGATGACCACATGTAGAAATGCCATGCAGCACTTGATTCCATATTTCCTAGCTGAGGTATATTGTGGATCCTGCAGCCTTTGGTTCCATATTCTAGGTGGGAAAAGGCAATAGAGTTAAGTTTTTTGATGACATCTGGATAATTTACTCTCCTGTCCTTTTTTCTGAGACTCAATGCTCCAAAGCAGTAAGGTGATGGTAAACATGGTTAGACAATTCTGGAATGCTTTTAATAGGTGTTCAATGTTAGATCTTTGTTAATTATTCTGAATTGGATGATTGGCTAGAGGTATCCAAGTTGAATGCCTTTTCCTTTTCTTTAGAGGCGTGGACAATTTAGTCTAGATAGTAACCGCTCATCTTCCATTCTTCTATAATGCTAGAGAACACTTCCTGTCAAATCTGATTTGATTCTTAAAAACTATCAAATTACCATCCCGAAAGCAGTTCCTGAACTTTCTCCCCTAAACCTACCGCCCCTTTCCTAAGCATAGAAAAACTCGACATGAAATAGGTAGGTAAGTTCGTAAGAACTGCCTCAAAAAGAGTCAATCTCCCACCATTAGAAAGGTAAAATTCCCATTTTCCAACTTATACAGGACCTCTATAACAGGCTTCCAAGACTCCAACCTTCATGGATTTATCACCCAAGGGTCATCATCCTCGAGTAAGAGACTGGATAGCTACAAGCTTGCACCACATTTTTTTTTTGCAAGAGTTCACTTCAGCAAAAGGAATATTAAAAACCACCAACCTAATGTTTTTCAAATTTATCTCTATGCCCGAAGAAATCTTAAAAATTCTAAGTAGCTTGAAAAAATCCTATAACCCTGTCCTATCATCTTTTGATAGAAGTGAAGTAATATCCATAAATTGAGTATGTGAAATATGCCCCTTGTTCTCGCCAAGGAAAAAATATTCAAGAAGGCCCCATGAAGATCAAGTTCAATCAACCTACTCAACACACTTCCAACCACGCAGAAAGAAAAGGTAATACCAACTATGTCCTATAATTTGGGCTTCGTTCCATTTTGGTCCCTATACTTGTAAAAATCCATACTTAGTACTTAAACTTTCAATAAAGCATAAAATTGATCCCTATTGTTAGTTTATTGTTAACTTTTGTAAAACAAAATAGCTCTATTAGTCTTTCCTCTATAAAATTAGAAAATATGTTCATATTGGGTCAATTTATGAAAGAATAGAAATTGCGGATGGTATGGATTTATCCCATTCTATAATATGTTCACATAAATATGCCAAATAAAATTCTAACCCATTCTCCAAGAGAGGAAAGCGGAAAGAAAGAGAAACAAATCATACAAAAAACTTTCTTCACATTTGTTAATGAAAGAATAGAAATTGCGACTGCATCCAGATCTAGAAAGAGTAGAAAGTTTCACCTTTGTATCCGAGAACAGATGCTCCAGCTGCAAAACCACCTACAGCTCCATTAACGAAGTCTCTCTTCATTCTATAATTCTGCACAAGCTGCTCAACGCCAATGTATACCCCTCCAATAGCAGCAAACGTCATCCCATAGTTTCCCATCATTTTCAAGGTTCTCACAAGCCCAGGCAAAGCAACATTTCTCTCAACACGGGGTACATCATACCAAGTGGCAGCAATTGTCCCAAAAATGGTGCCAGAAACAAATCCTGTAGTTGCTCCTTTAATCATTTTCATTATTGACGTATCATCATCCTCCAAGTACCTACGCTCTGAAGCATCCATGGGTATTTTTGAAGTTGCTGACAATGGCCAAAGCTGCAGAAAGAAAAGAAACAAGACGCAAACCTCAATAACCACGACCAAAGAAGATCTAAATTTTTCTGACTATCTCATAATGAAATCATTTGTATTAAATGGAAATTAATTAGATTATATAGCCCCCCTCCTACGTATTCATCCCATTCCTTTACGTTATCTCAGCAGAATTTCTAATATCCAGAGAATTACGAACAGCTAGATCCAAACGTACTAATAACCCGCTAGATAATGAACAATTCGTAAATTTAACCGTTCAGATCAAGCCGGAAACCCCAAACGACTACCCCTAACTCGTGCACCTGCAGAATACAATCTAATTTCTCTATATCCTCAAAAATAGAAGCATGAAAATGAATTTCCGCGACAAAATGACATGCAGACCGAACCGCAGAGGCTAAACCTAGACGAATTGCATTGACAACTACATCGAGTGCGATCATCGTAGCTCCAAAAGCATTGTAGATCAGAAAATTCATAAATAGTAGAGAAAAACGATTTGGATTGGAGGAAGAAGCACGTACCACTTTCGATGCAGCTCTCTGGAAAGAAGGGAATGAGAAGGAGACTGAAGCTCTTATATCAGCACGAGAAAGCCTCTTGAACCCGCGTTACTCAACCTGTCGCCGTTGCAACCCGATTCCCAGATGGTTGCGTAATTACAGTACTACCCTCGTCGGTGTATTAATTGCCAACATTAAATTATATTTCGTATCCAATAGATTTAAAAAAAAGTGTCTAATTTACCAAATTTGTTTGTATTTATAATTTTTACATTTTTTTTTTTTTTATTGTCAATAGTCAAATTAGAGACGGAACCTAAAAAATTTATTTATTTCTTATAATTCAAGTCACTGTCACATTTATCATATCAATAAATTAAAAAATAGTATAAATATCATTAGAAATCGTCAATAATATAATATTATCCATTTGATGTCTAAGTTGGAGTAGTTTTTTTTTAAAAAAATCTAAGTAGGTAGATAATTATAAATTCATGATATGTCTAATTACTCCTCTTTCATTTTCTATTATTAGTTAGATAAAGAAGAAGTCACCATGTGAGTAGGAAGGGAACCATATGTGAATGTGAAGGGAAGACAGCAACTGCCAATGCCCAAGGGAACCATATGTGAACGTGAAGGGAAGACAGCAACTGCCAATGCCCAAGGGAACCATATGTGAACGGCTGGCAACGTGAAGGGAAGGGAACCATATGTGAACGGCTGGCAACGTGAAGGGAAGGGAACCATATGTGAACGGTTGGCAACGTGAAGGGAAGACGAGTGATTAGGTGAGATTGAGCGGGATTAAGTACGGTTGGCAACGTGAAGGGAAGACGAGTGATTAGGTGAGATTGAGCGGGATTAAGTTTATTCGAGGAGAGTGATACTCATCTTCACTAGAGGAGTTGTTCCTTAGATTCACAACTTCACTAGAGGAGTTGTTCCTTAGATTCACAAACTACTGATGGTCATTTGGCCTTAGATTCACAAACTACTAATGGTCATTTGGAGTAAAACTTGAGGGGTTTCGTTGAGTGAGAAGTGGGGATAATATTTGTTGGGATAATACTCATATTTTCACTTAATATAGAACTTCAACTTAATATAGAATTTATTACTCAAAGAATTATGTCTAAAGTTCGAACTAACCAACAAATTAGATCTCAAATCAAGTAGCACCTTTTAATTTTAGTATAACAAATGAATGTAAGGTACATTGGAGAATATTTATGATCGATATTTATGATTATGATAAATTGTATATAAAATTGAATGAGATCAAGAGTAGTTAGGTTCTCTTACTATGCTCCTAATGATGATATGAATATGTTCATATAACAATATGGGGAGGATTAAGGTTGATCATCTTTGCAAAACTTTACTTTTCGTGCCTCAGAATTTTACTAGAACAAAGGTTGATTACTTTCTCAGAAAAAAAAAAAAAAAAAAATCTATTTCCCAATCTCCTCTTCCTCATCCCTTTGAGGGAGGTACGCCGAATTCCCTTCAGCACAACAAAACTCAAACGAAACATCAAGAAAATAGAGCATAAAAACAAGAAGAACCGAAGACAAAAACATAGGAATAGCTCCAAAGATCCACAACAACAAAGGAAATGAAAAGTAAAACGCACGCAATCCCAACGACCAAAAATAACTCCCTCTATTCACCGTAGTGGCCACATAATCCGCCGTGAGCCCACGCTGATGCCGATCATCGATCAAACCCTTTCTGCATGGCGTATTGATAAGAATGCTTGCATGGCTATAGTACCTTATAGACTGAACGTTAAACAAAAACGCCACCAAAAAGCAAACCAATATGGCAAAGAACTTGACAGAGAATGAGAAACTAAATTGGCTTCTGTCTCCAAGCACCGCCAATGGGGACTGACTCTGGCCGCTGCCACCGCCACCGCCACTCGTCATCAGGACCGCAATGAGAGAGCAGAGCATTATGGCAGTCGAGGCCAAAAGGGTCGACGCCATTATATTGTTCCTTAGTGTTTGGACGGCAAGGACGCCGTTGTTTGGTGCATTGTCCATCATAGCCTGAACCCATAAGCGACGATTCATGGCGTTGATGCCGATCACGGTCTTATTGGGATATGTGAGGATGCGATGTAAAAGCCAAATGTGGTAGGTGAGCATGAGAAGAAGGCCGGAGGAGACCAATGTGTAGTCCAGAAGCTTTTTGTCCATTTCCTTCTCACAAGAAGGAAATGAAATGAAGTGGTCGAGTAAAAATGGAGTTTTGCAGCAACAGAAACAACAAACGACGTGTCTGGGTCTACTTTTTGTGCTGTGTGGGGAAGCATTGCAGGAATAGGAACCGGTGGAAATTAAAAGTGCTTTCTCATGCAGCAGAACGGAGATAACAAACTATCACAAAAATGGAAGAGAATAAACAGGGCAGCTCAGTCAAGATTCTCAACACAAGGTGGACCATCATTTTAGGCTCATCTGTTGGCAAATTTATTTTTTTTCGCTTGGCCAGACCTGATTTCAAGGGAATAAATATATGATAAAATCGTTGCGTAGAATCAAAAAATAATATTATCTTATTTTCTTGAAAAAAGCAACAAAAACATGCATCTTATGACACCAGAACTTTCTCAAAGAAACACAAAAATTGATTTACTCTTTCCAAAACTTTCTCAAAGAAACACATGACAGTTAAGATGAAGTTAAAGCTGTATGTACATGAGAAGGAAGGTTTTACTACTAAACAGTCTGTACACATAAGAAGAGAATGCAGTCGATGAAAAATAAGACTGACCTAAACTGAGGTGGCAGAATAGCTGTAAGCTGGTGAGCTTACGAAACCAGTGTTAGCTGAACGAAAAGACTTCTCAAAAGGATCAATTTCAGTTCCTTCTGATGCAGCATGTTTCGTCATCTCCATCTTTCTCCGAAGATTTGTTAGGTGTTCCACTATTTCAGACATTGGTGGTCGGAATTCCTTCACAGGCTGATCATCCAAAGTTGAAATGCACGGGAGGATATGTTAAAAAGGGATATATACATGCCTGATTGAATGTGCCACCTTTTACCTTATCGTGATGTGATATTAAAATAGTATATTGTGACTAACTTTAGAGTTTGTCAACTTACCACGTAAATGTTAATCTACAGGCTTAAAAGTACGTACTTGTTAGAAATAAACTGAGGCATATTAGATTTCATTAGATGGTCTGGGCTAATTACCTGTATACAAAGGGAGAGAATATCGACAAAGCGAGAGAGGGACTTGGAGGAAAATGTTCCTTTAATGACTGGATCAACCATCTGTTCTAAACTCTCGTTGTCATGAAGCCGAGATGAAGCCCATTTCACCAGCGATTGTTCTTTCCTGGGTTTCGAACTTAGTAAAAAGAACAAAATTATTCATACTCAGAACTACAACAAGAGTTTGAAGAAGAAGAGAAAAAAACCAAAAGGAGGTTGGATGAATTGTACTTGTCAAATGGTTTTCTTCCAGTGACAAGCTCCAAAAGCAACACTCCAAAGGAATACACGTCACTTCTGGTATTATCAAATCCTGGCTGGCCATGTTCAGGTGCAAGGTAGCCTCTGTCACCACTGGCAATCTCAGAAGCCTGTTTTCATCAGTATTTACACATAAAACTCATGAAAAAAAAATACCACAAGTAAACAACGGAAAGTTTAAAATCGTGGAAGTGGAAATTTACGGCATCCCTGTCTAGTTTATGAACAAGGTCTCTCTTCCAAAATAGACATCTAGTTTTTTATTTACCATCAAAAAAAAAAAAAAAAAAAAAAATC